AGTAATTTATAGATAAGCACATATATGTTTTGTAGCATATTTTATACATTCTATAGTATATACATATAATTCTATGAAGTTTATACATAATATGATTATTATTGATAATTTTTATCTCAATATATTCCCAATATATTTTAAATGTGTCCTTCCTGCAACTTAATGAAGTGTCTTTGAGATCTTGTTATGAGACAGGAATGAATGAATTTTCTACTTTTCATCCTAAACTGTTTGTTATATACATAAAGTTGTAACATTAAGGTGCAAGGTTTGAGATAGGAAAAAGCAATTCCACCATGATCAAGTTCTTTCAACAAATGTCACATCAGTGCAAAAAGAGACAATCAATGCATATATCAGCTGACATGTCTTTATTTATCTAATGAGCTCTGGAAATTCTTTATTCTGTACTGGCTTGCAGTGGAGGCATTCCCAACACGTGCACAGTCCTGAAACAAGTGGTCAGGGTAGTGGGCATGGTGCTGGCCTGCTGTTTGGTGAGAATTTTTGTTCCTTTAATGATGGATTCTGAATATCAGGGTGATGTGTCTTTCTTTAAACAAGTTCTTGTTATTCCATGTGGTGGCAGGACTTCAGTTTGTACAGAAGCAGGGCACATATATTTGTGCTGTTTCCAAGCACACCTTTGTAATATAAAGAATGTTTTTCTCTGAGGTGTATGCACATTCAAATGCAGATTGCCCAGTGAAGTGCCTGACAGATCCTGTAACCCTGACAAACCTGTCTCAGCTGCTGAGGCAGGGAGACTGTTCCCTGATGTGCCAGAATAGCACTGTGCAGCTTAAAATGACACCAAACTCTCACTGATCAGGCTGGGAAGGAAGATATTGTAGAAAAATATGTGAAGATGTAGGAGACAGCTGTGCTGTAGGAGGGTGTGAGGGGCAGTAGTGCCTGTGCAGTGAATTTCCTGCTCATCCTGCCTGTGGGGCCACACACTTCCCTCCCTAAACTGCTTGCTCTGAATTTCCAGCCCATGGGGACTAAGGAGGGTGATTTGGAGAGTTCAGTGTATGTCCAGGCTTGATTCTACGTGGTGCTAAGATGTGGCTGGAGGAAAACAAGGCAGGATGAGATCCTCCTGAGTCATGCAGATTATGCATAGCTCGAAATGCAGGATATAAAAATTTAGGTCTCCTTTTCACTAGTCCTGGGTGACTTCTAGAACTTTTTGTCTGAAGTTGCCAATATTTGCTCTAATCCCATTTTTGCTATTGTGCTAAGGCCTTTAATACTTAAATTATCCAGCTGTGATTTCCTCTTTCACAATCCCTGGGAGAGACTGACCTAAACTGAGAAGACGAACACTATGGTGAGAGAGATGAGCTTTAAGGCTTGCTAAGCTATGTCAAAGCTTCAGAGTATTTAAATCTGTATTAAAACCAAATCTCTTACCCAGTGAGCTGTCAAGCCCATTAACAACAATTCAATTTCATTTTTCATTTATAGCACAACAGATTCTCCAATCTGAAATGCACACTGCTCCTACATACCTAGCTGCTAATAATGTTAACTTTTCTGCATGTTATAAGTCAAAATGCTAAAAACTAAAAAATAAGATAACAAAACATCTGACTTAAATTCAATCACAAGGCACTCTTTGAAGTATATTCTTGAAAGATACTGATCTAAGCTTTGTGTAAACTCACAAACATCTATTAATCAACACTTGTTGATAGCCATACATCATCAGGCAAAACTCTTACTGCCCTTCCTTTTTATTTCTTCCAAAAGAAACAGGTCCCAACAGACTACAGTCACAGCCTGCTCTGTACATTCAGGTCATTATTCTCATTAAAGTCCTGACAAATTTTCTTGGTTCAAATGATGAGCTGGAGCAGGCTTGGCACTGCCTCATTTCTGAGACCACATATCCATATATCCCTGGAGATAAGTCCCTTGTAGCAGCATACTTGCAAATGTTCTCTTTTTCATTTTTCCTCTTCCTCATTTTATCTCTTTCCTCCCACTACAGGAGCCTGGCTCCTTCAGTAAGCCCATCAAGTGACTTGCAAAGCAGCCAGGAAAAGTGCCACCGGAATCTTTAACTGAAACAGAAATTTTCCTTCCTTTGTGTTTCATTTTTGCTATCATTCCTTGTTGAATTTGTGTTACCCCTAGCAGAGGAGGGAGAGGCTCTTCACATGCACTTCAGAAGTGTAGGCATTCTCCTGGAAGTGAGGATTGTGTTAACCTAAGGTTAAAGATATTCACGTTGCTACAATTCAACAGAAGCTTCAAAAGACACAATAGTCATGTAATCCAGCATGACCTCCTTTGACCCAAATGAGGAGCTGCAAATTCTAGTTCCTCCTTTTGATTGCTCTGGGGAAAGATTTTTAGTCTCACACCAAAGAGAAAAATAATTCCAAAATCAACTTCTTTCAGTAGCCAAGATCCACAAACTGTCTGCTCTGAATTCAAACAGCCTCCTTATGTTTTCAAAGCTTTTCCCCTACACTTTTTATTACCTAAGTGAACAGTTAAGTAGAAACAGCAAGAAACAGCACACTATCTATAAATGTATACTACACTGGTCAGCATTTACTGTTATTTGAAAAGTATTAATAGAATTGCAGTAACAATCTATAGTGGATCATTCAATACACTTTCACATTGTTAAGAGTCTCCAAAACACACAAGCAGGAGTTACAAATATTACTTACACATGGTGGGATTTCCTCTTCTGGCAAGTGATGCAGGAGTTCAGGCTGGGGAACAGGAGAGGACCTAGTGGCTTTAGAATAATGTATTTTAATGCAGGCAGGGACAGTTGTGATAATCTCAGCGAGCTTCTGTATCACAGGCCCAGGTTTCCACACACTAATGCCAAGGCAGTACTTCCTCCCAGCCAGCAAGGATTTGTAGGGAGAAGAGGTGGCGGGGTGCAGCAGGAGCAGCGGTGCCTCCCGCAGCAGAGAGCAGACTCCGGACACCACGATGTGTGCCCTGCACAGGCTGGCCCTAGTACAGCTCACCACTTTATTTCAGAATATCAGCTTTTCCATTCCAGACTCCTCTGCATCCTCTGTAGCTCTTCATAGCAGTACAAAGTGGGGATTTGCAAAAATTGGCAGTCTGCTTTTAACCTTTGGAATCTTAGGTAATCCTCACATCCACATAGGGCAGGAAATGGTTCTAGGGCAGTGTATCATCAGTTCCAAGTAGTGAAGTGAAGGGGTACCTGTGGTTGCTTCTGTTTGCTGCAAGAACTGGTCAAGACTTTTAGCAGTAAGTACCTAATCCATCATTAGGCTGCTCAGTAACTGGCTGATTTTTAGCATGTTTAATATTTTGGGAAGAGTCAATTGTTACGACAGAGGACGGATTTGTGATTCCTCAAGGCTAAGGTCGTATGTGGCAATCATGATAAACTCCAGGCATGAACTCTTGTCCAGCACAGGCCAAGACCTTGGTGAAGTGCAGAGCAACAGAGGGTGGACAGCCACATGCCTCTGCAAACCACTGAGTGATGTTTGTCCCTGGCCAGCAGCTTCCTAGGGAGTCACAGCATCCATGAAAGACTATCCAAGTGTGATGCATCTGAACATGGTCATGAATCCAAGACCCACCTACCTCAGTCAGCTGTTACCGTGCTTTAAAACACATTTCCCTAGTTTCTGTTCTGAGCTCTTCAATATTCCAAGTCTGTAATTTGTCCTTCTTTCTTATTTCAGTTTGTTTCCTGGCTCTGGCATAGGCTTTCCTAAATAATCTTGGGTTACTCACTTAATCTCCTTTTACATTAATTCATCGTTGCAACATTTACAACATTTCTCTTCTCTAACCTCTCTTTCATGTCAAGATCAAAGACTCCCTAGGGCACTGATCTTTTCTGCATCTTGACACATTTTCTCAAGTGAAAGAACTGTTATTTTAGCTGTGGCTTGTATAGTTGTGCTATACTAGACCCTAACAAAAGTTGCTTTTTGCATTAAACATGTCAGCATCTTTGCAGCTTTGTATTATTTATGTTGCAAATTAGGAAACAGAGTAGATAGGTGCATAAAGTCCTTATTATTGCAATAACTCTCCTTCTCCCAGCACATACCATAGCATTCACCCAGATGGCTAAAGAAGATTCAGGTAGTGAAAATTAATATTTTACTGTCTTACTCCACATCATGTCTGTGCAGGTGCTTGGATCTGAGTCTTGCAGAAAACCATCCTTTCCAGGAGAGGCAAAAGAACAACTTACACAGCTGCAATCTCTCAGTTAATCTCATCTGGGTATTGGGTTCCTGCTTGCTGCTGTGATCTAAGGACTAGAAAGTCCATAATTTCAGCTCACAAGGTAGCAGGATCCTATCCCAAATACTGACATTATTTTTGAGTAAGTCAGGTACAGAAACAGACAGTAAGAGTATCTCTGTTGACTGCCTGTGACCTTTGCCATCACATAGTTCCTGAATGTTCTTACTAGATCTCTTATTTTGCTGTTTTTCTACCTCTATGGCCAGTAACAAAAACTTCGACCAAAACCTCCTTGGGCTTTGTTGATCTATCAGATGTGTTAAGCAAAGCACAATTTTATTACAGGCAAAGGATTTAAAAGAATAAAAGCAAATTACTAGTAACAAACAACAGCATCATTAATTATGCCACTAAAGTACTACAGAGATCTTTGTAGGACTTCGCGGAGGTGAGGCTGTAAGGACTGAGTGGTATTTTGATGTCATTTTAGGCCATCCTACAGAGCTGGAAAAGCAGATCGGGGACACGAGCGATGATTTATTTTATGCCACATCGGCTGAGGTCCGGTCGGCTCGGGCGGAGCGCGCAGAGGGCGCTGTCCCCGCGGCTCGCCCCTAGGTGGCGCTGCTGGGCAGCCCGGCCCCGCTCCCATCCCCGGCCCCGCTCCCACTCCCGGCCCCGCTCCATTCCCGGCCCCGCTCCCATCCCCGGCCCCGCTCCATTCCCGGCCCCGCTCCCATCCCCGGCCCCGCTCCATTCCGGGCCCCGCTCCCATCCCCGGCCCCGCTCCCATTCCCGGCCCGGCCCCGCAGCCCGGGATCCGCCCGCCTTCCCTCGGGCTGGGCGGAGAGCAGGATAATGGCACGGAGGAATTACATTTCTGCCGCTCTTGGCTGAGGTGGGAAATACTCCCTTTTCTGATATTTGCAAGTGAAAGAGGAAATAAGTTTTCAATCGACGTGTTTATTGAAAAGGCATCTGGACAGTGTCTTTTTTTTTTATGCACGAAGCAGATATTTGTTCTGGCAGGGCTTCCTGCTATTAAAACTAATGTTCTAGAGACATAAAAAGGGGAAGATGCTTTGTTATAAACTTCCGATGTATTTGATTCTACTGCAATTGTAGGGAACAATGATTGATGTGACACATTTTTCCAAGTTACCCACCTTTTCCCTATTAACATGGTACAGCTTGCAGTTTGCTTTTGGGTACTTTAAATTTATCAATATTTTGGAGCATTTTACAAAAGATTAGAAATTCCCTGTGAAAACTGATAGCAAAGTAATATCTGAATATTTAGGGTGTTTGGATTTATTTTAACAGGATGGATTTCTTGTGATATGATCACAGTTCTTCAGGCCCACATGAATAAGCAGACCAAGTTTTGAAGTCTAACAATAATCCTAAGCAATTTTCCATTTTTTTATTTCTGTAATTATTTCATATTTATTTTTTTATTTGTGCATTTACAGTGAAAACACAGCAAAGGAGGAAAATATCTTTTTGAAGGGCTAACATCAGATATTACCCAGCTACTAGTAATACTTGCTATAATCCTTTCCCAACCTATCCTTAAGTTTCCTTTCTAGCCCACAGAATACTTTTATGAGAGTACATGTAGGCACATGCAAATTGCATCCTTTGCAGAATATGGTCAATCATTTCTCCTCATGGTTACAAATAGTAGCAAGAGGTCCACCATGCTTACACTCTTAAAAGTAATGACAAAAACCACTATGATTTTTCTCAGAAAATGCATCAGTCTGGGACGACTGGCTGGTTTAGAGGTAATGCTTTGTCACCTCGTTCTGCCAGCAATTTACCCTTCTCTATTACCTCAGCCTACCACAGTCCACTCTAAAATACTGAGCCCACAACAATAATCCAGTCACAGGAATGGTCTTCAGGGGTTTTAAAAGACTTCTACTGTCATTTTGTTTCTACCAAAAGGGTAGTAGATTGCATGTAGATTGTGGCCTAGAATTCCACCCTTTTCCAGCTCTTCTCACATAAGTTTTGATCAGTGGACACAGGCCAAAGGGCACCCAGGCAGCCTCCTGAGCCCAGTCAATGAACTACTAAAGAATCCACAGAGGCCCATGTGTCTATACCAACCAATGTAGTTATTAATGAATGAATAAAAAATAGACTGTTCAAAGTGTCCTATCATCAGACTCTGAAATGTGCATTTAAACCATTTGAGCAGCACTTTCTCACTTCAGACAGCTCAAACATAGCATGACAGGAAAGAGCTAGGAAAAATTTTGTGTTGATACTGATAAATGCACAGATTCACACATCTTCCAAAATGCAGATTTCTTCCTTTTCAATCAACCTACTTGATAATCTTTCACACTTGGCAATTGTTTTCAACCTTCATTATAGAAGACAAATATAGACTTGTAACACTTGGATATGGCTGGAGTTCTTTCATAATCTTCTTTGGCAGTGAACTGCAAGTTAAAAGATTATAAGGCTTAGTAAATAAAGCAGCAGTCTTTCACCTGTCAGACAGATTTCTGTCTTAGTTTAACCTTGATTTATGTGATGACTTTGGTTCTAGTATGCTTTTAAGCAGATATGAATTTGTGTAACCTGAAACTGTTGTACTACATCCTGGATGAAGGGAGAAGCTTGGTTCTGGAACCTGAAAATCCAGGCCAAGGTTTAAAACAACACACACTCCTAAAGAATAGATCTACACATGTAGGACAAGGTTCACACAGGCATTGATGTGTTCTTCAGATACACCTTCAAAGGAAGCTATACTATTTGTGCATATCAAAGATAAATTTTAAGTAATCAGGAAATGTTTTTAAGCTCTGAGCACCACTTTGTCAGAAATTCCTTGTTGCACTGAGATACTTGAGTACTTCCCTGTCACACCTCAGGGATGGCATCCCATCCTCAGTACTGCAGGCACTGCCATCCCAGCCTTAGGGTCACATAACCTCTCAGTCACAGGGGTGCAAGCACCTCTGGGTTTGGTTATGAGTCAGTGTCTTCTACTGCATCTGCATTGAATGATACAGAGTTGAAGTCATGATGTTTGCCCACAGGACTATTCATATACTGAATTTCTCTTGAGTCTGTGACCTGGAAGAAGGGAAGTTGATAACTGCTACCAGGTGGGTTTCTAACCTAAGGAATGAGCATCATACAACCAGCATTGTACCAGAGTGTACTCACCTTTTTCTTGTTTGCTTGATTTAATTCATTATGCATTAAAAGGGGTTAAAAAGAGCGGGCTAATTTTGAGATTTCTAATTAAAGGTATAAAAATGGGCTAGTGATTGTAATTTTCACCTCTAGCAATGAGTGTAGTGTGTTACTGTAACTCTTCAGCTACTATCTTTTGTCTTGGCTGATAAACACCCCCACAGCAGTACACGAGAACAGCAAGAATACTGTGATTGTGGGGCAGGGAGTTCCTTCTCTGTGGCAGGGGCAGACTCCTTCTCTGTGACAGTTCTTGTGCTAAACCTGCTCATGTGAGAAACTGTTAGCAGCATTGCTTGGGCAAGACAGTGAAGCCTCCCAGCTGCAGCAGTGGTACCCAGGCAGTGCTACTGGAGATGGACCTCACAGCTGGAAATAACTGGCTCATTTTGTCTTCGGCACACCAAGTTCAACCAGTACCATAGCATCCCTGAAGGAGAATTAACCTGAATATTATTTTGGTCAGCCTTTCCCATTTTACCTTCAAAATTAAATCTACTTGCTGAATTAGACAGAATGTAAAGTTTAGTGCTGTTCAAAATCAGAGAACTTTTATTTTGTGTGTATATGAATTTGATAGACTTTGACAGCATAATTTTATAAGTTATGTACTTAATATTTTGGTGGCATGATGATATGATATATAAATTTCTGGCAATGTATATTTCTTATATTGAATATGTGTTTCTAATTTGAATAAGTTTAGAGTTTGTATTTAATAACACCTTGCTAGCGATAGGCCTACTCATTGGGAGAAAAAAATTAATTATTTTTTAAATCACTTCCCTGTTCCACAGGCATCTCCAGACCTCTTAAAGTAATCCAAAAAGTGAAATGCAATAGAGCAATAAGTGAGCACTCAGATGTAGTTCAGCTCATGGGGCTGAGGCGGTGCCATCCCACCAGCTGCTCTGTGCCAAGTTCCTCCTGCTGCGAGCCCACCCGCACAGCTTGCTGCCAGCTGTGGCTCTTTCTTCCCCACAGCTGCTGCAAAATCTAACCCAAGTGTGTCTGAGGCCTCTGCAAGCAGCTTGACCTCTGGTCTGAAGCCTTAAATAAAGCTGGAATACTTCCTTTTAAGAGGAGAAAGGGAACAGAGAAGGTAATAGAATTCAATGGAGTTTTTAAGAAATTATGAAAATGCAGTAAAAAGTAACTTTTGCAGTAAAAATGCAGAAAATGCAGTAAAAAGTATTCTTCCAAAGTAAGAGGCTGTTAAGTGGCATTGGTAAGATGGCACTTATGGATAACTCTGTGTCTAGTTATCCATCAGACTTGCACAAGGTCCAGAATAAAGAATCTGACAGAACTATACTTTAATGGCTGACATTTACACAGCTCATTTCTATTTGGCATCTGCAGAATGCTTATGGAGATAATGGCTATTTAATATTACTTTTGACAGTAGTCAAAAATAACATAAAGACAGGCAGAGAACCAGAGGCAGAGAAAAGATTTCTGTATTTTTGGGTCGTGTTTTAAAGAACACAAAATTGCAGAAATATCTTCATGTTTTCTCTTAGGAGTGGTCCTGGGCTAATGCCAAATCCAGGCTGAGGAGGCGTTTCAGAAAGTGATGGTTGGCCCAGACCAAAGGCATGCTGATGACCAGGGCACACATCAGTGGCCTCAGCACACTTATACTGCTGGTTAATTCATTAATATAGACACAGTCTTCGTGCCAGTCCCCTTCTCTCATCAAAACAACATAAGGGAAAGACCTGATGCTGGGTTTACCATAATACGATTAAAGAAAGCTCCTCTCAGAGACAGTGCAACAGAAAAAGCTTCTGTATGAGCTTCTACTTGCTTGAAATTACTACCTTGATTTGCAGCTCTTTTCTAATATTAGGAAATTTTTAGGTGTCCTGAGGCAACAATTTCTGCCAGGTACACAGTCAGAGAGGCAGCCCTGCTTCAGCTTCTCTTAGGGCTTCATTTTGCTCCTCTATGAGGGGTACCAATTTGCAGAAACTTTCTGAGACCCATGATGGGAGAAATGTCCTTACCTCCTCCATAGATTTCATGGTCTCCAAAGATTCCTTCCATACCTCCACCACCTTCCCCTCCCACATTTGCATCTCTGTCACAGAAAAATCTTGTTAATTTACTTACAGACATACAGGCTGCACAAATGAACACCAGCACAAGACATATAATGGAAAAATATTATCCTCCACCACAGAAAGGTCCAGGACCAATTTCACACTGGGACACTCAAGAAGCTGTCACAAAGGATGTTGTTTTTTAAACTTTTCAATAAATTAATTTAGAATCTTTCAAGTCTTCCAGGTCATCCAGAATCATCCAGGTCTTCAAATTCAAAACTTTTGGTCCCAGAAATTAGAATTCTACAAAAATATTTTTCCTGTTTTTAAAACTAACACCATGTGAGATCAAGAACTAAACCAATAAATGCATTTTTTTAATAAATTGTTTGTACCTTCACTGTTTAGCTTTAAAATCCTTGAATTTTTTATTTAAGACTTGCAAGGTGTCTGGTAAATCAACCTCTAGCAAACAGATAAAGGAAGTTTATCAGTATTTCTCTGAACAGTTCTGTGGCAAAACTTTGTTGTTTATAATTCACAGTTCAAGTTGTGTGAGCATCTGGGGACTACCTCTTTTGCATTTCTTTTGAGTGGTCAGGGGAATACTCAGGGCTTGGGCACAGGTGGAAGGGTCACAGCTGAAACCATTTATCCCTCAAGAAACTGCTGTGAGTCTGCCCTGCAGTCTTGGAGTCTGTCAGATGCCTGATGCAGGCAGTGCAGGGGCTGACCCTGGCCTCCGATGTGCTTGTCAGTGAGTATTTTCAGGTATTAATTCTTAAGACCTGTGGGATTAGAAGGATAGTTTTCACATTTTCTGTAAGGAATATATAAGGGGATGGTGTTAGCAATACCTGGGTTTCATTTGAAACTATTTTGCTTGTAAAGAGGCATTTCTTTTTTGAGAGAGGTACAGATCAATGCAGATTTTTTGCCTTCAATAAAATATTATCTGCCTATCAGCTCAACATAAGTGTTGTATGTATCATACATGTCAGATTTGAAATATCTTTTGTACAACATATTTGTGTACACATACGGAATGCCTACAAATACTCACATGCCAGATGTATTTGATAAACATGCAAGAGTACAGAAAAATGCTTTAGAAAATTCCATTCATCTCTCATGAAAGAGGGACTTTTTTTTTCTAAATATCTAAAATACTTTTTAATGCTCTCATGGCAAGAGGCAGAGAATCAGTAATTTGCTGGTGACAGTTTTATAAGTCTATTTGTTCATGGCTATTTATACACTTGTGCTAAACAGAGCAACCAAAAGTTACACCACTGTGTTATGCTGCAGTCTTTCAGACTGCCAGAGTCAATTTCTAGTTCACATCATAAAAATAGTGCCAGCAAGGATTGTATAACCTTGTAATCTGCAGCCACAATACCAACCTGTGCTGGCACCTGTGCAGGGCAGCTTTACCTGCTTCAGACATAATCCGGAAACACACACTAGGTGGGGGATTTGCAGTGCCAGGTCACTGAGGGTTATCTTGCTTTTCCTGCCTTGGAAAGTCGTCAGCCTAATGAGCAATTCCACCTGCTCTTCTCATGACTGGTCCCAAAGGAAGATGTGTAGCAGTGGCTGCAGCAATTGCAGCAAGTTGGTGGTCACCAAAATGCTCCTTCAGAAAAGCTTAAACCCCACAGGATCTTTTTTTTCCACCAATTTGTGTGTCCCAAGTTATTATAGATTAATATGAATTTAGGTAAAATCTCATGTTTGTGAGAAAAGACAGAGGGGACAGAGTTCTCCAAAGAGTGGCTGGGGAAACAGATACCCACCACACCTGCCAGTGTCTCACATGTGCCATCACCACCCAGGGCACAGGAGGGTACGAGGTTTGATTCCCTCCCATCATTTGTCACCTCACTACAGGTAGCCTGGGTGGAAGGCACGACACTCTGGAAGTCAGAGAGTGCTGCTCTTATTTGTCCCTTATGCAACTGCTCTACACAGTGCAGATAGTGCCACAGTCTGAAGAGTAAGGGCCACCAAGTCAGTAACCTGTACCAAGGGAGGTTGCACCTAGCAGGCAGATAGATGGATCTTAGGCATTGCTTCAGCAGGAGGGAAGCATGATCATTGGGCAGTCACTGAAACCAGGCTAGAGCTCAGTATGGTTTTATTCCTGAATGTTTCTGAAAGACCAGCTCTACATACATATCCAGATGTTTTCTTGTTGTAGTCATGTTAAAAATAAACATGTTATTTTATGAAATAAAACAAAAGAAAATAATTTTTAATTGTTGAAAAAGAGCAGAAGATAATGTTCTCTGTGAAAGCATTTGGCATGACTGTACTGCTTACATTTGCAAAGCCAGTGTATTTATAGAAGCCTAAAACGAAATAGAAAGTTAAGTCCAGAACAGATTCCTTGATCTGAACTTTGAAACTGAGATCAGAAAATTGCAGTGTCAGTCATGGGGGATGTCTGAGCAGGTGATGAACAGCAACACTCACACTGCTCCCTTCTTCAGAGGTGAGTTGTTCTCAGTCCTCAAAATCTCACAGGCTGCTGAGCTCTCTCATCAGAAAACTTTTAATTGAAAATGTGATAAGCTACTCCCTCTCTGTAGAAAGCTACCAGTGCTTAGGAGATCACCAGGGTAGAGCACCTGTCTCTGGGGATCCTTGTGCACTGTATGAGGCTTTCCTGGAGTGAGAGCCACAGTTAATGATATGGCCCCTCTTCCTGCAAACAGCAAATGCCTGCAAATGAGGATAAAGGAATAAATGACCTGTGGCTTGGCAGAAGTTAACTGCTCAACCACAGGATAAAAACTGAGGCTAGTGTAATGAAGCAAATAAAAATAAATCTTGGCAATAACTTCCATGTTGCAGTCTGTGGCTGAGACTTTCAGATCCATCAAGAGTTTTAATCATCATACAGAATGTTGACATTTATGAATCTGAAAAAATTGTCCATAGCTGAGAAAATAAGTAAACTGATTATGGTCCAGGATTGATTTTGGGCTGGGGATGTTTATGAATACATAAAGTGGGTATTCAGAAGGCCTGACAAAATCCTTTGTCTTTTAAAAATCAGCGATTTAACAGAAGGAGTTTTAGAAAGCTGACAGATATAAGTCTTGATAAGTCTTCTACAGAAACATGTTTTAAAATTGAAGGGAAGGTTTAGTGACAGGTGTTTCTCAGTCTTCATATTTAATGAGGAGCAGAAATGCCAAGTAGCAAATATTAGCATGAAGGGATTAGGGCAGGAGCAGTTTAAATACAATGGACTGGATATAGTCAAAATAATGATGCACTATTAGCCAAATGCTGCTATGTTTCTAGAAGGAATATTCTGCACAAGAAGTGCAGAAGTGCACAAGTGTGTGTTGCCACTTGTGTGTATAAGCGTTCTGAAATAACTTTTCACTGGACACCTGGAATAACAGCATGTGAAGTCACCTGATGTCAAATCAATGCTAGACCCACTGATTATCCTGCTCCCAGAAATGCTGTGTGGATTTTTACCATTTTTCCTTACAGAAACCTTGCCACATCCTTTTCTGAGATGTGTCTTCTACAGTTTGATTCTCTGCACACATCTTAAAACATAAGAATAGATAATCTGGGTCCAGACAAGGAGTGTCTACCTGGGTTCTAAGTACTGGTTATTTACTGAATATAAGAAGAAGATGAGCAATATTTCTTTAGCAACCTTCTCTGCTCACAGACAACAGCAGATGAGAGACTTCCTGAGCAAAGCATGGCACCTGCATCTTTGGAGTTTTACTGGACACTCTTTTCTATTTTCATTTCACCTGTTGCCAAACTCATTTGTGCTTCTGTATCTAAGGCATTGTAGTTTTTGCAGTTTCTACTAATCTCCCCAGTTCAAAAGTACAACTTCCTAGTCCATTATTTCTAAGGCTCCACAGGAGTTCTTATTAAAAACTGGCCTTGTATGGACTATTTTTTCTTTCTTTTTTTTTTTTTTTTGGCAATGAATTACTTGATGTGCAGCTGACAAAGCTTGACATGCTTGTTTTGAAGCTGTTGCAGACTAGCTACATGTAGTGTGCTCTGGTTTAAGCTCATCTTGCTTGAAAGGCATGCCATGATCACTCTCCTTGCTCATCTGTGACTGTATCTGAGAGAGGAGATAAACAAAACCCAGAAGGCAGGAATGTGATGAAGTTTGTTTGTTACAATAATGATATCTAAAAGCTAGATATCTATGTATTGCCTGATAGTACTTAACCTTATGTTTTTATTTTAACTTATAGAGAGTACTGAGATGACATAAATAAACCCACAATAAATCTAAGATCCATCTTTTGACTGAGTAATAGTTAATGTCAGATATTTTTTGTAAGTGCATTTCTTTGCAGCTGTCAATAGTTGTTCAGTTCAATATAATTTGCAAGTTCTTTGTGATCACTTTTATTTTAAACCACTCTAAATAATTTTGTAAAGTCAGAAAACTTATATATACTTATGTCTTGAGATCAAATTATGTAATACCTTTTCTGGCTCATGTAGGAAAGAATACCCATCAATAGAATCCAAACACAGTACTTTTGAATCACATAATTCCTTCTTGGCCCCTTTCCTATCTTCTGTGTAGCTATTACTTTTGCAGAGGGCCTTCCCTTTTACCCCATGTCGACCTACCTTCTCTAAGTATACCTTTCTGGAGAGGTATATAGTAAAAACCCTTTCTGAAATCCAAGCCTGGTAAATAAACCATCTTAATACTGATAAGCAATACTTTATTGAGTTCTCCAGGTACTGAAACAGGTTTGAGACTCATTACATCTTCTGCAAAAATGATGTTAATTCTGTCATATTAATGAATGTATACCGTTAGTATTGTTATTTCTTACAGTTTCTACTAATCTCCCCAGTTCAAAAGTACAACTTCCTAGTCCATAATTTCTAAGGTTCCCCAGGAGTTCTTATTAAAAACTAGCCTTGTATGCACTGCCTTCCTTTCCTTTTGTACTGAGGCCAGTTTAAGTGATAGGCTATCCACCACAACTGAAACACGACCATTTCAAATCTGAATTATCTAAGACCCACTGGGCAAATTCTATCAGCTCTGGCAGTGCTCTATCAATTTTTTTTAATTGTCCTGAAACGTCTTTTGCTGACTGTTCTGACTGAGATGGTTCCCCTACTCTTTCTTCTGTAAAGAAAGGCTGTGGGAGCAAGACCAGACTCAGGCTTTGACAAATTGACTGCTGATGGAAATATGGCACTTAGCTTTTCTGCTGCTTCTTTCTCTTCCTTGAGCAACCCTTTTACAAGTCACCTATCTTTCAGAACCTACAATTTTTCTAAAAGATATGCCATTTCTGATATGGCTGGAAAAGTTTTGTTACTAACATTTATATGGCAAATCAAACAATTGGTTGTTTGT